CGACGGGGTTATCGAGAGGCTAGGTTCAACCAAAAGAGTCATTTTGTCATCGACAGGGTTATCGAGAGGCTAGGTTCAACCAAAAGAGTTATTTTGTCATCGACGGGGTTATCGAGAGGCTAGGTTCAACTAAAAGAGTGATTTTGTCATCGACGGGGTTATCGAGAGGCTAGGTTCAACCAAAAGAGTGATTATGTCATCATTTCTCAACTTCAAAGTGCACATCATAATTGTTTTGATATCAATGCTGATTTTTTCATCATTTATCATACATGATTTTGTCATAATTAAATCAATGGACAACACATTTCATTCCAACCAACATCATAATTGTTCTGCTATCACAGCAATAGATTTCATTCCAACCAACATGATAATTCCAAACATTAGTAGCCACAACCATACATGATATAGGTTCACATACTACAACACCCACACATTGTTCTTGCTTCTAACATTAGTAGCCACCACAACCATACATAATACATAATACATAAACCACCAACATTTACTCATCACAAATTTCCTTGATTCTATTGATCTTACTCTTGTTCTGCTCCCCAGCCTTCAGCAAATCAGCTATGATGTACTCCAGCCTTTTCTTCTCTTGCTTCAGCTCTGCCATACCTTGATCTGCTACAGCCTTCTTCCAATTGGTGATCAGTTCATCATTGCTCTGCTTAATAACTTGAAGTGCTAGCTTCAGATCCATATTCTCTTTCTCAAGCCTAGCCTTCTCTTCCTGGGCTTCAACTACAGCTTTCTCAACATCACTATCCTGCATAATCTTCTCATAGTTCTTCCTCATCACATTCTTGTGAACTGTTGCAAAAAACTGGCTTGTTTCCTTTATATGGGTGTGATGCTTCTCTTGTATTAACTTCTTTTCTTCTTCCAGCTTCAATATCACCTTATCTTTTCTTTCAATCTCTGTGTTGCTCTGGTCATACATATCCCAAATCTTGCGCAATGCATTCTGCATTGGTTCTGGCCATTCTGCATCAATCCACTGCACTAGACCACAGTTGTCGCCGTCCTGGATTAAATTTTTTGCAAAAAGAGTAAAGACTAAGTACAATTGAACAGGAACTAAGCACTTAAATGTTCTAATTATCAAATGCTGAATTTGAATGGATTTTTGTAACAAGCTGTACACTTTGTTCTTAAATACCAAACAGCACATACATACGAATAGCACATACACTCTGTTCTTAAATTAGACCTAAATTACACCTAGTAGACAATTGTTCAATGGCATAGAAAGGATCAGCACGAACCTCATTACCACATCCGTAAAACCTACGGCCAGTGTTCACGCCTTGGAATACAACACCCCTATGCACCGGCAAATTGTGACTGCACATCGGTCCTTCGGCAACAATGCCACACCACTCTGGGTCAACAATGGTATGTGGAACCTAGAAGGGTTCACATAGAGTACATCCTCAAATCCCAGATCAAATGGGTCAAAACTAACCTCAAATGGAGTACAGATCGAAGAAAACCTAACCCTAATTGAGAAAGACGATGAACTCACATAGGATTCGTCCGCGTGCGAGGTGAAAAGGGGGGAAACAGACTCCTCGCTGCTGGTTTTGCCATCCTTCCAGAAGACCATGGCTGCGGCGGTCGGCGGCGGGGGCGCGGGCGGTCGGCGGCGGGGGCGCGGGCGGTCGGCGGCGGGGGGACGGGGGCGGCGACAGAGACCTGCGAAAGAGTGAGAGAGCGAATGGACGAATGGGTTGGGCTCGAGCAGCTGGTTATGTTTAGACCGACGCCGTCTAACGGCGCGTCACGGCCGCCGTCTCGCCCTGGCCACGTGGGACCTGACAAAGGGACCCACCCGTCAGAAATCCACTCATTGACGACACCGTTGAAACTTAGTCTGGGGCAAGTTGTCCACAAAGACTTCCACTCGCTCGCCAAAACGCTGGTCCGCACAACCTCTTTCGCAGGTAATTTCGATAGAATTGTGCATAACATATCCTTGAGCAAAAGAAGGGGAAAAACATATTCTAGTTCTGCTTAGCCTTAAAAGTTAAATGAAAAGGGTGGGCCATCTTAACATGATACCTCCGGAAGGTCTTGAAGTTTGATGCTTGGCCTTCCCTTGCCATTGGTCGATCTCGTCGCTGGTTTAACATGGACGCGTTTCTCTAGTGTTGTTCTTGTATTTGTCAGGTAGTTGCCCATTCTGATGCTGAAAACACAACATGGCCAAACGTTGTCATATTATTAGATAGACAAGATGATGATGAGCATGGGCTATGGCAGTTCAATCCCGCACAATCTTTAGCCCTCTTGAATTGTTGCAACTTTACTTGATTTCGGAGCAAAAACAGAGCAGGAATAATGGATAGGATTGAAGAAGCGGAGGCAGAGGCAAACTGACCTGTTATTCCTCACTACAGCTACACTTGCCGCCCTCGGACGAGAGGTCTGAGGCGGCGGGTTAATTTGGGGGCCGGATCAGAAGATTCTGGCGGAGAGGGGAGGGGAGGGGGCGAGCTGCAGTGGGTCGGCGACGAGCGAGGCGGGCGGTGGGTGGATTTTTCTTTCCTCTCTGGCGTCCGAGGCGGGCAATGGAGGAAGAAGCATTTGATGATTTTCCCGGCGCTTTTATTTCGGGCGGTGGTGCAGGCCGAGTCTGACGCCGATTGCGTTACGACGAAGAGGCAAAGTGCTTCCAAATCTGCAGGCCCAACTTATAAATCCCAAGTCTCTAAAAAATCTTTACCTATTTGGTTTCTGAAACTTAACATGGATTAAAAAACCATATTACAACTATAAGTCTTTATAAATACCTCCTTGAGAGTCTTATTTCATAAGTCTCAAATGTCCGCTTTAAATTTTATAAGTCCCTTCTGTTTAGTTTAGATGGAACTTATAGGAACCTTTTGAAGTCCCTAAACCAATAAGTCTCTAGAAACAAACACCCTCTAAAGAACGGAGAGCCCATTACCTCGCACTAGATGTGTTATATATTATTTTCTTTTCTGTTTTTTCGACTTGTTTTTAGGGGATTCTCTTTTTTTGGACAGTGGCTCGGCACGGTCCCTATAGCCCTTTTGAGAGAGAGAAAAGGCTAAGGCCCAATTTGGCAAAGCAAGCTTTCTCAAAACCCTAGTAATTTGGCAAAGCAAGTCTTCTTCGTCTGAGGGTTAAATTTGGATGTTCGGTTAGATTTGTGTTTCAGAAACTCCTCAAATTTGAAGAGTTGAGATTTAAGAAGATATTTTGAGGGCCCAAATTTTAGGAGTTGGGTTAGATGTGTCTTTACCTCTTGATAAAATGGTCGCACGCATCACTTGATGCAGAGACAAGCGTTCATATAGACGCGCATACACTCACGTATCTCTGAAAGATTGAGCCCGCATATCATCTTGAGATTTACGAACTCACCGTAGGCACCTCGTCGTCGACGGGAACGTCTCCTCTCACTGAATGTGCATCGCCGAAAATCCTAAAATAAATCCAGAAATAAATGCGATCACCAGGATTTGAACCCTGGCAGGCTGGGGATACCACAGTCTCTCTAACCATCCGACCGCAGGTTGGTTTACCAAGTTGACTATTTCTAGCAATGTAATTTGTATCTACGTACGGTCGACACGCACGACCGATCTACGGATCGGAGGGTTGTGGATGCGGCCATCTGCATCCATAAGCGTGTGTTGTGTGCAGGCTGGCGTTTCACCACACCAAACGAAGATATACTACTCCTATACATGACATGCATGACACGTCCATTCATCCATGCCGTTAGGTTACCAGCAATGGCACAATTGCCAGTTCTCATAGAGGATGAAAGCGCCCCCGTCTCGGAAGCAACCCGGCAATGGCGGAAACGGCTGCCAACACGCGTGGGACATGCACAGCAGCGAGGTCAGCGGAGGGGAGCGAGACGTTGCGTCCCGCCATGGAAAATCCAGCTCGATCAGAAGCTTATAAATGGCGCCCTCCATGCATTGGAACTCCCCGGAGCTAGCTCGTGGGCTGGTGGCAGGCCATGGAGAAGCTGCGGTGGTCCGCGGAGTCGTCGTCGCAGGGTGCGGTCCCGGAGCGGTTCCTCATGCGGCTGGCAGCGGCGTCCCCGACGCTGGTGTCGCTGCCCGTCATCGACCTCTCCCGCGGCCGCGACGAGGTCCGCCATGCCGTGCTCCACGCCGGCAAGGAGATCGGCTTCTTCCAGGTACGTACATTTATCCGGCAAGATACTTCTGCCCAAGTTATCGCAGTTTTTTTTAACAGCACAAACGCAGACGTTCATATATACACATACACTACTTCTATAAACGTATATACGTATATTGTAGCCTATGAGTACCTTTGAGAAACTGATTTGGCATATTATCTTAAAATTGACGAAGTGCCACCGTGCTTTTGTAGTCGATGAAAACATAACTGTCGCCATTGAAAAGGCTTCTTTTTTTTGGACGTCACAGTTCAAAAGGCTAATAATATTGTTGGTACCCTTTTGCAGGTAATTCACGGCTGACAACACGTACGCAAGGCTAATACAGACTTGGCGCTCCCTACAATTAACGAAGCCAATGCTTTTATTAAAGAAAAAGCATATACAAATAGAAATGCAAGAGTTTTTTAACACAATATAATTATAGATGCTCACACATACGCACATACTCTCAACCCTATGAAGGCACGCACGCACGCATACCTTACTTCTATGAGCACTTTCGAGATACTGAGTCTACACAACATCTTAAGGTTGATGAAGTCGCCACAGACATGAAGATCACCCGCGAAAAGAGGTAAATACAACCGTGGTGCTTCAACTTGCCACGGATGTTCAGTTTAGTGTTTGAACTTGAAAAATACGCCAAACTGATTCTAAAACTTGGCACGGACGTGCAAATACGATGCTAATCACACTCGTGGACGTAAAGTGCGTCGAGGTGGCACCATATATGCTGATGTGGCACAGACATGGCATGGGGTCCACTTATAACTATGAAATATAATTACTTGAATACTATATATCTCTATGACTAGCCCTCCTGTTAGTACCTTAGCAAAAATAAAATGGAAAATTCGCTTGACAGGGATTGATCCAGCAGCCTGACACCTCGATGTACTAATGTAATATATTTTATTACATACCTCTCTTTATTTATTGTGTGCACACGGATATTTGTGTAGCATAGAGTAATTATTAATTACACATGAATACTACCAAATCTAGGTTTTATTATTAATATTATTATTGACATATTTTTTAATTAAAAAATAACGTACGATAAATGGGCCACCGGCCGCAACCCATTTATGTATACAAGAGTTTTTGGTTCAAATACATTAAGTATAAGGGGCTGACATTGAAATGGAAATATGTTTGGTGGAATGATGAGCGAAATTTTCCCCAAGCGTCAGGTCGCAGCTTTGATGCCCGTCCAGTACATTTTTATATTAATTTTCTTACTAATTACTGACAGGCGGCGCACTAGTCATAGGGTCATATAGTACTCAAGTAATTCTGTTTTGTACCTACAAGTGGGCCTCATGTCATGTCAGTGCCACGTTAGCCATATACGATTCCACGTCGATGCATTTTACGTCTGCGGGCAGGATTAGCACCGTATTTGCACATTCGTGTCAAGTTTTAAAACCAGTTTGGCGTATTTTTTAAGTTCAGACATTAAAGTGAACATCGATGACAAGTTCAGGCATCATTAATGTATTTACCTCGCGAAAAAGTTAATTTGTTGCCTTCCTAACTTAGATTTTCTTCTATTTATTATCTCTCTTAGGATCACATAATACTACTATTTTAACATTGTACCATTATCTCTTTCATTTATTTATTTATTTTATCTCTTTCATTTATTTATTTATTTATTTGGCATGGAGGGACCATAGCAAATACGAACATACATATATAAAATCAAAAGTAAAACAATGTATATAGTACATATTTTATTGCTAAAAGATGGAGTTCTTATTTGTTGCTAAAGTTAAGTTCTTATACATTCCTCTAGCATGTGAACTTAGAGCTTGCCGACACTAATGTGATTGAGAAGCATAGTACCATACCATTTGTTATGTGCATTGTTGAGAAAATTAGCTGTTCGGTTGGCTGGCGAGCAAGGGATTAATAAGCTTATCGGCACGTTAATCGATCATTCAATCAATTAATCGGTTGATTTATCAGTTTATCGGATACTCTGTGACCCTACGAGTAGGGACTGATCGACAGGTTAACTGGTTAATGGGATGAATTCTTGAACAGGGGTTATGTGTAGTACTCCCTCCGTCCCAAAATAAGTGTCATTGTACTTATTTTAGGACGGGGCTAGTATGAAATAGTAAAATTGTGTTCTAGTAATCATTGATTGAACCGGAAAGATCGTACAAGCTCTCGTTTATAACAAGCAACCAAAACTTGTCATAGTTAATTCTTATGGTCATTTTTTTTGCGAGTTCTTATGGACAAATTTGCCCTCATGAATGGACGACGGCTTGGATCAAATGCTACTCATACTCCGTAACGTAAGAGGAAAGCGAGGGTGAATTAAATGCAAGGATCAAATTATCTTGAACAAATTCAATAATATTATGACACCAAACTTGGAACTTATCTGAGTTCAGTAAGATAATGAACATGCTAAACGTGTAGGTGATCAACCATGGCATGCCAGAGCGTACAATGAGGGAGATGGAGATGGCGTGCGGCGACTTCTTCCGCCTCCCGACAACGGACAAGGCAACACTGTACTCGGAGGACACCGGGCAGACCAACCGGCTCTTCTCCAGCACCATGTACAGGTCCGCCGCCGGTGAGAGCTACTCATGCCATTGCCTCCATCTCGCTTGCCACCCCGTCGAGCGCACCAAGCCCGCCTGGCCCGAGAAGCCCGCCGGGCTCCGCCCCGCCCTCGAGAACTTCATCGTCCCCGCTCGCAGCATCGCGATGGAGCTCCTCCGTCTCCTCTGCGAGGGCGTCGGGCTCCGGCCGGACTACTTCGAGGGCGGCCTCACCGGCGGCGACGTGATCGTCGACGCGAGCCACTACCCGCCGTGCGCGGACCCGGGCCTCACCCTCGGCCTGCCGCCGCGCTATGGCCGGAACCTCATCACCGTGCTGCTCCAGCCCGGGTACGTGCGTGGTCTGCAGGTGCTGTACAATGGCGATTGGGTCGACGTCGAGCCCATACCGGGAGCGCTCGGCATCAGCTTCGGACACCAGCTGGAGATCGCCACCAACGGGGCGCTCCGGAGCGTGGAGCGCCGGACCGTGGCCAACGCCGTCGTGGGGAGGACCTCGGTGGCTGCCACCATCATGCCGACCATGGACTGTGTGGTGGGGCCCGCCAAGGAGCTCGTCGGCGAGGGCAGGCCGGCGAGGTACCGGAGCGTCGCGTTCCGCGACTTCATGCACGTCTACAAGACACTCGGCGCGTGCAAAGAGAGCGTCGAGGAGGCCTTAAAGATCTCACCATATCAAGCATCATCATGGTACATGGGTATGGATACTACTAATGAATGAAGAAGAGTACATTAACCAAAAGCAACATCATTGTGATGATATGATAATGTACTTACTATGAGTGTGTACCGTGACATGAAGTCATGAAATGTGTGTACTCTATGTATCTGTTTGGATCCAAACTGGTAAGAAACAATTCAGATGGAATATACTGGTAAAAGGCATGTGGCATACACGTACATAATGTAAGAAATGTGATTTCACATCGTGATTGTTTTTGTACTTACTACTTGCTTACTCCCTTTTTCTAAACAAAACTTTGGTATTCTTGTTAAGGAGCCCGCGTGTTTTGACGGGTTTATAAACTGGTGGCACATCATGATTCTAAATCATGCAATAACTACAACTACTTTCCATATCAAGAAAACATATATTTCCAGGCTACTCCCTCCGTTCCTAAATATTTGTTTTTTTTAGAGATTTCAAATAGACTACCACATACAGATGTATATAGACATATTTAGAGTGTAGATTCACTCATTTTGCTCCGTATGTAGTCACTTGTTGAAATCTCTAGAAAGACAAATATTTAGGAACGGAGGGAGTAGTAAATAGGGCAAACCGAAAACATGTGCTTGCACTGATAGTCATCCAACACAACCATTTTATGTTTCAAAGAAAATGTTGATTTCTACTTAAGACCAGGTTATATACATGCACACCTTGTTTCATATTTGTGGAACAGTTTTGCTAAGTCTCAGTCGACTAAGACTTGGTTATGTCTCAGTAGATGCTATATTCGTTTGATCTTGCATTGAGATCTGTAAAAAAAAGGAAAACTTTTTAGTTTTTCGTTTTTCTTCTTATATACTACTTCCTCCGTCCGGGAATAAGTGTACATCTTCCTTTTGTCCTAAGTTAAAACTTTTAAATTTTGACCAACTTTATAGAAGAGAGTAGTGACATAGGAGTATATGACATCAAATTGGTATATTATGGAAGTACATTTCAAAATGGATCTAGTGATACTAATTTAGTGCCATAAATGTTGCTACTTTTCCCTATAAAGTTGGTCGAAATTTTAAAAACTTTGACTTAGGACAAATGCTAGAAGTACACTTATTTACGGACGGAGGGAGTATGTCACTTGACTGAGTCTTGGTTAAGTCTCAATCAACTAGGACCTAGCCACACCCTTTGTGGAAAGAACTTGATTTTCCAATTTGATACAAGTATTGTTACAAGTCCAGCTAGACATTTGGGGAATGTACATGGTATACTCACCCTTGTGGTGCTATTGGTGCACCGGATGTCGTAGCGCATTTAAATTATTTAAAAAACCCTAGAAAAAATCTCGCACATTAACCCAACATCAATATATGTTATCACAAATTTTCATATCAAAATTTGAAACGTTGCTCAAATATAAAAATGACATATTTGACATCAATGTGATAATACATCAATGTGGTAATGAGCCAAATCTAAAGCTTAATGTATGTTATGTACTATTCATTGTCGAATTTATCATTTTTTGTTTTGTTTAAAATTTTGTAACAATATACTTTGATGTTGTGTGAATGTGTTACAAAATTTCAGAATTTTCTATTGCCAAAGTTGCTATTAGAGACTTAGTTTGATGTTTTGGCAGGAACACTGCCTCTTTCAAAGGTCTTGTACTAGTAGTAGGGATTTGTCTGTTTTTGCTTTTTGCTCAAAAAAATATGTTTTAGCTTTAGATGTACTCCCTCCCTTTTTAGCTTTGTCGTAAATCAAACATTATAAATTCCGACAAAGTTTATAAAAAAAATAACATCTACAATAACAAATAAATATCATTACATTCATCATTGAATATATTTTCACAACACATATACATGTCGTAAATGTTCGTATTGTTTTATATACTCCCTCCTTCCATCTATATAGGGCCTAATGCATTTTTTTAAACCGCCTTTGACTATTGACAAGATTAATAGTACATGACATGCACAATGTAAAAATTATATCATTGAAAGCTCCTTTCACACATGAATTTAACGGTGTACTTTCTGTAAGTTGCATGTCATATATTATTGCTCTAATATTTAGTCAAGTTAGTCTCAAAAAACGCATTAGGCCCTACATAGATGAAAGGAGGGAGTAAATTTTATCAAATTTGACTTAAGACAAAACTAATATGCATAACAAGTAACAACAGAGGGAGTACATTAGGGATGTAAACCAAGTCCCGATGAGAAAATAAACTATCAAACTAGATAAAGCTAACTAAACAAGTCTTGCCTAGAGTACATAATGATTGTGTGCCAAGATAGTCAAGACATATACTCCCTCCGTCATTAAATATAAGCTCTTTTTTTAAGATCAAATATAAGCTCTTTTAAGCCAAGATAGTCAAGACATATACTCCCTCCGTCATTAAATATAAGCTCTTTTAAAGATTTCACGCATTTTAGAGAATAGATTTATTCATCCATCATCGACGCACTCAAAAAAAAACATCTGTCATCTGCTTTGATCTTCCAACGACAAAGTGGAACACGATGTAGCATGGAAAGCAAAGCGCTGTTAATTAATTTATCAGGTCCTGGTAACAACTTTGCTTATGGAAACATACAACAGATGATAATTACTAACTGATTATTAACTAAACACCAGCTCATTTCCATTATCACTGTCCCTTCCACATGAGAACACATGCATCCTCTGGTTGCACCACTAAACCACCTACCACATAACAATGGCTATTAAAGGAAGTGTTCCTCTTTACAGTAAACAAACAAATACCCAACATACTCCCTACTACCCACACAGCATTCCCTTCTTCTCATGGCCATAAGTCAACGACGCATGGCGGCGATGATGATGCATGGAGAATGTGCCCGTCGCGTCACAAGTGGCTCGGCCGCCTCTTGCCTGTGTCGGTCCGCTGCCGCTTGGCAGGCTTGGCCCAGTGGATGTCCCCGATGCCGGGCGGCGAGCTCCCCCCGCGGTCCGAGTGCGCGCCCCACCCGGGCATGGACTGCTGGGACGGGTGAGAGTCCCTCTGGAACGGTGTCCTCGCGCCTCTGGGCGACGGCGCCGGGCCCAACCGGCCAGTGTTGGTCGGGGAGAGCGGTCCACGGGGGCCTGAGCTGGACGGCGACCCGATGCTGGACCGAGCCCGGTCTTGCCTCTTCTTCTTGGCGATGAACAGGTCGCCAGGGTGTAGCGGCAGCCCTGGGCTGTCGAGGCTCTGGTCCCTGCTGCCTGGTCCTGAATGCCTTGAGTCCCTCTCGGGTTTGGCCCGGCTAGGAGCCTCGCCGGCCGACGCGTGATGGCTGTGCTTGCCGCTGCCGGGACCATGCTGCTCCACTTCAGTGGTGGCGGAACGGCGCTTCAGGCCTGAAGCCAGGTGCTTTGCTGATGGGACAGCCGTGCTGCTTGCACCACCTCCGGGATTCGAAAACGACAGCGAGTCCTTCACCTCTTGGAAGTCAGAGTCTGGGAAGGCGATCTTCATTATGTTGAAGAATAGGTTGTGGAGAATCTCAGCTTCTACCCGGACCTGCATTTCCATGAGCAAATTAAGATTCTATTACGCCAAACCCACACGCCATGATTAACTGAACAAAGATTGCAATATATAGCTACAAGTTTACAAAACTATGACTAGCAAAAGTATGTGGTGACATATCGTTCTATATATAATCGCCACAATATTAGTTTTTAGTAATAAAAAGACCAACCAATAGTAATCCAAATACAACTACTAAGATGAATAATCAGCTAACTTAAGAGGCCATGGACCATGGTGCAAGTACTACTTCAATTGACCCATATCTAAGATGGATAATCAGCTAACTAACAAGACGAATTCAAACTTCCATAAGTTGCCTCTACTTCTGCTTATTCTGATGGTTGTTTACACGTTGGTCTGAGTAAATTGACAACAATCATAGACAAACCCTTCATATTATCCATTCATGCGTGCAGTTAGTGTTATGAATCCATAACATATACTTATTGCAGACACATCATATATCAAGTTAATGTTAGCTCTTCAGAGATGTGAAAGCTGAATATTCTCAAAATAAAACAGGTGTTATCATGGACACTGTTTCTTGACTCATGGGGCATGTTTCAGGAACAGAGTAACGCAGTGCTCGTGAGATTAATATAATACCGGTACAGAAGGCAAAAGGGAGGCCTGGTCTAATGCTATAGATTACCTCATGTCTGTAGCCGAAATGTTGAACCACACTCTTCAACATCTGCTGCATGTCCGCTATGAACTCAGCTACGCCGCTATACTCTAATCCATCAACTCGTAATTCGATTTTCTGTAGGTCGAGGGTGCTTCCAGCCACACCTTTGGATGAAGAATTTTCATTCCTTCGCCACCAAGAAGCTATGTTGGGTATTTTTTGGTGTCCCTCTTTGCCAATTCTCCTCCAAAGCTTGCTTATTACATTCTTACACTGCAGTGATCAAAGATGAGATAAATCATAACCCAGCAATCAAAAGCTGATTTCTGGAAGGCCAAACGACACGAGTAAAAGTCACAGAAGCGATCCCATGTTCTCGATAATACAGCATCATTCTGCTATGTGATAAATGCCATACGTACAAAATAGAACAGTAGTTCTAATTTCTTATTTGCAGAGATTTAATCCCAGTATTTACTATGGCCATGAAACACCTCGTTTCCAAGACTGTAAACTACATTGTTACAACTGCTGTGGGAACCCAACATGTTCCTGTTCACCAAATGGTTCAAAATAAACATAGCGTGGGACATTAAGCAATTGCCATATTCATGCTTTCCCAAAAGAAACGAATCTAACAGCTACCCCATTGCTAACCCTGCTTCCTTAATCTACTGCTGGCACGGGTGAGGTCCAAACAGGCCCCCATAACCATATTTGCTAAAGCGCAACAAAGTAAAATACTGCAAGTATTCCCAACATAAGTTATCATGGTTGTCTAAGGTGTTTCTAAAGAAGAGGCAATGGGTATTTTTAACAGGGCAAACCATCATAGACATACAAAGAAGAACAGCGAAATGCTAACCTTTCTCTGCATACTGTCAGACATCTTTGTGCCAGCAGAATTGATGACCTTGTTGCTCCAATTCTGCTTGGAGTGCTCAGCAGATCCCTCCCCAGACCCAGACAAGTGGGTAGATTTCGCTGCCCTAGAAGCAGGAGAAGCCTTTACAGATGGCATGTTACGCTTCTGTTTCACTACCGGATGAACCGTGTCTTGCTGCCTGGAAGTAGGATCTGCAGGAGCATGGGCATCTTGCTGTGAATCATAATCACCATCTCCTGGGAATAAAAGGCGAGCACCACGTTGGGGGAAGGTACCATCTGCACCAGATCTATCTTCCTGTTTATCGGTACTAGGTCTTGGACGAGTTCGGAGACTCCTTTTGCGTTTTATTTTTGGCTGCAGGACCTGTTCATCCTCACCATCATCCCGGTCATGGTTCCAGCTTCCTGATTGCTGTAGATCCATATGTGAGTCCCCTGATAATGCAATCTCTCCGTCCTCCAAGTCATCTGACTGTAAATTCATCAGTAAAAAGGATAATTGTACAGTTAACTTTTCATTCAGAAATAAAAAGAGAGCAGAAAGAAATAAGTGCCAGGTCTCAGACATACAGTTCTTTTTGGAAAAGTGCCTGGGCGGGAATCTAATGCAGATAGAGACCGCAACTTCTTCAAAGCTGAGGAAGGGGCTGGTGGTGGTAATCTCCGGCTTCCAGATGAAGATCCTGTAGAGCCAGCTTCTTCAGACTTGTGACCTTTTCCACTTCCTGTCCCTTGTTGAAGATCGTACCCATCATCATTGTTAGGCTCTTCTTCCTCCGATTGATCTTTGTTATCATCATCAGGTACTGAATCATCATTTTCCTCTTCCTCTTCAGATTCTCCTGCTTCTTCTTCAGGGTGAGATGGTGTATTCCTCTCCTCATCATCTTCTTCAGACTCCTCATCATCTTCATCTTCATACTCCCGGTAGATAGAGTACTTACCAGACCCCGTGGGTCGCCCCCTTCTTTTCTCGAGTTTGTCACCATTGTCAGGAGCACTGCCAGATGCATTTCTGGCAGGCTTTTTGGTTAAGCTCGCCACAACACAGTCAACATCTGTAGAGCCAACGCGGAGCCACTTTGGAACCTGATTATGTTTCATCATATCTCCTGTCCAATCGAATTCTTCATCCATCTGATCAAAGAGCTCGACTTCCTCTTCAGTCCGAGCAATCATACGATTAACTTCCTGTAGCGAAGGAACATCATGAAGACTTTCTTGATACCTCTCTTCATCATGCAGCAGTGTCTCCAGAGTCATGCGCCTTTCCTCATGGGTCGTTCTTTGATCAAAACGACCAGCATTAATGACTTCATCTGCCATATCAATTTTGTATTGTTGGATATTATTGCGGATGAGACTTTCGATTGAACCCATGTATCTGTCCTTTCCAGCAAGGTCATCCTCCAGATCTCCACTTCCTCCGTTCCTCAATTCATCCTCTTTGTGATAACTTGAGATGTTATCAACAACGGCCTCCATGTAAATAACCTTTACCTCCCTAGTCTGCCCTATACGATGGGCCCTTGCAACAGCTTGTTCTTCATTTTGTGGATTGGGATCGGGGTCATAAATTACAACAGTGTCTGCACTCTGAAGATTCAGACCTCTACCAGCAGCACGGATACTAAGCAAGAATATAAAACACTCAGAACCAGGCCTATTAAAATCAACAATTGCTGATTCACGGTCCTCCAAGCTAGTTGTTCCATCAATTCGCCTGTAAGCAAGTTGCCTCCATTGCAAATAGTCCTCCAGGATGTCAAGAAGTTTTGTCATGGTGCTAAAGAGGAGAACACGGTGACCAGATCTATGAAGCTTGATTAAAATCCTATCAAGATTCCACAATTTCCCGCAAGATCTGATAATAAAATCCTTCCCGTAGTAATTCATAAAGGGATATGACAGCAAAGGATGGTTGCAGACTTTCCTCAATTCCATGCATTTGTTTTGAAGATTCTTATATGTCTTGGCCTGGTACATTGGATTTCTTTGGATACGTATTTTCTCATCTTCCGGATCAACTCTAATGGTGCCAGTGGATTTGATCCAATCATATATAGCACCTTGAATGGCAGACATTTTGCACCTCAAAACAATAGAGTCCTGCACATTGCATGCCAAGTAAATAAAGCTGTGAGTTTAAAGAACCAAGTTACCAACAAAAAACCAATTAACTTCAAAACTTGTACATAGAATGACAAGGGCGAAATTATGGTACCTTCCGTGGAAGTGAACCTTCAACATCTTCAACACGCCTACGTAGCATAAAAGGTTCCAGAATTTGATGAAGCCTGTGAATAATAATAACTTTCTTCTCGGTCTCCAACCAATCATCTTCTTCGTTAGGTGTAGGAGCATCCCTCTGAAAAGGCTTTGAGAACCAATCTTGAAATGCCTTGCGGTTGTCAAACACTTCTGGAAGCAACAAATTTAGAAGGGACCAAAGCTCCTTGAGATCATTCTGAAAAAATTGTAAGAATGTATTAAATAACAATCTAAAATAAACAATAACCATGCGGTAAAACAAATACTGTGGCATACAAGAGAAAAGGAACTTCCAGGAACTGAGGCTCCGTCAACATATCACAGTGTATGGCTATATGCCTATATCAGCATTAGTTGAATAATCGGTAAACATTTATTGGGCTTGCCTGTAGAGGAGTGCCAGTGAGAAGGAGACGTCGCTGGCAACGATAGCGATCAAGATCACGGGCCAAGACTGACTCTCTGTCCTTCATTCGTTGGGCCTCATCAATTATAATGTACTTCCAGTCAATTCTTGAAAGCTTAGAACGATCAAACATAACAAATTCATATGTTGTCACAAGAACATTAAATTTGACAGCCAAAACCTCCTGCAAGATGAAATCCAAGAAAAAAAATGTTCAGAAGCAAATATTTCAACAAAAGCTAAATCAATAATGAAATTCACATACATTTGCCACCAAATAAGCTTATCTATGAGAAATAATAACAAAAAAACAGATCAAACCCTGTTCAGGTATAAACAGGAACATAGTATAACAGTACCCGTGGAATATGCACAGCCTGGGGGAAAGCCCTCCTTTTTGGTAAAAAAAAAGTACCCATGGAATTGAGAAAATTCAACCCCTGTACAGCATCTGAAGCGTAGCTTCACTGGTATGAAAAACAAAAACCAGAATATGTGCTACAGAGTTTCATTTACTCTAAATAAAACCAAGCCATGTGCAATGATGACTTTGTGTCTTGTATATATATGGACAGAGTACAGTTTGGTGAAGAAGTTTGTACGTGCCAGTAACCCATTTCTTGTAGGTCAGTTTCCCCATTTATAGTAAAACCAACAACAACAACAACAACAAAGCCTTTAGTCCCAAGCAAGTTGGGGTAGGCTAGAGGTGAAACCCATAAGATCTCGCAACCAACTCATGGCTCTGGCACATGGATAGCATTTATAGTAAAACCAAGCATACGAATTAATTTTAGAGCAAAAAAAAATACTATTATAGAAGACAAGCCTGACGCATAAGGTGAAAGCCTGAAGCGACAAAGTAATCAGTAAGCACATTCTTTCTAAATAAGATATGCATGGTTTATGATTTCCCCGCTGTTAGAATATTGTTCAGCAAACAGCAGAGCTACTGTTATGCATTTTAGAAGATGATTGTGTTTGCTTACAACAAAATATATCTAAAAGGCAATATGCATCAGAATCTTTGAGTGCTAAAGCATAATAAGTACAGATGTAGCAACTTACTTGAGAGAACAACTTTTGCCTTTGATCCTTTGCACCAACATAAAAGATGCAAGATGCGGATGGTAACCAATTTAGCAGTTCACTCTGAACCAAGAACAGAAAATTAAGTTAAAACTTATGCTTCTAAGCTCATTTTTGTATCACAAAACTGATACGGGAAAAAAAAGCACCTTCCAATTGACCAAGACAGCATTTGGCACTATTATGAGATGTGGTCCATAATTCCCTTTAAACTCCATCAAGTATGCAATCAATGCCATGACCTGTTTAAGCAAAAAGGTGAACAACCATGAAAAGTCAATCCTAACAGCATGTCAATCCTAGCAGCATGGCATTGAAGGAAGAGTGGAGCGATCCAAAGACATGGTGAAATAACTAAAATCCAGCAGGTGGAACACAGCAAGAAAGGCACACCTGTACAGTCTTGCCAAGACCCATCTCATCAGCCAAAATGCCATTCAATTTATTATTGTAGAGCGAAAGCATCCATTGAAGGCCCACCTGGATAACCAGAAAAACAAAATTGTAAAACAAATTGTGACAGACTGACAGGTCACAACAATATTAACATTAGTATTAAAGACAAATAGTTGAGTTGAAGGGAAATGATACCAGTTGGTAGTCCCTTAAAGTTCCTAATCTCAAAAGTGAGGGCTGCTTTGTTACTTTTTCAGTCACAGCATGAGCTAACATATAGTACCTATAGGAATAAAACAGGTCAAAGTTTGTTAAGGCTAAAAGGTAGATTTTGCAGACCTTGTTGATCTGCACAAACTTTATCCCAAATGTGAAATAGAACAATTGTTGGTTCCAGATTAGAGAACAATTGTATGTGAAAGTTACTCAGAAGTCGATAGCATACATAAATTTAATTTATAGTGCTCTCTGAAATAAATATAGTGGGTCAAGAGAACATTACAACAGAACCACATTCCCATTAGTTAATTACTTACTTGTTAACAGATGCATTTTCCTCCCTTGGTGCATTCATCTCCGAGAATGTGTTTCTTATCATAACCTCCTGGCCAGCACATTGTGCAGCAGCCTTCACTTCTTCTTCAGAAAGACCCTGTTAAACAAACAATCAGCAAACTCATTATTTACAAGAATAGTCACTAGGAACCTAAAGAGTAAAGACTGCAGCCTGTGGCGGATGTGCAGTGCATTGGAGTACAGTTATACCCGACTTATTTGATAATGCAATATACTCCAGTACAGTTACACACAAAGGATATGGGTTCATACCCTTTTCCCCTTCAATAATAATTGATGAAAGGTAAATAAAGGGTGCATGCTAAATTTGTTTTGCTTTGGAAGCTGAACAGCACTGCAGTTAGTTCCAGTTTTCTGGTCATTAAACTTTTTTTTGAATTAGCCAGAAACAATGGTTGAGTCCGAAATTGTTGACTCATCCAGTACAGATTTGTAATCTGTCTTCTGGTTACTCAGCGAGCAATCTAGTAGCCCGATGGGCACTTGGGCAGCCATGGGAGAAGAGAGTTAAAGAAAATTAAGCTCCTACTGATGGGCGGCAATTTCCCAGAGTAGGTGGTTAATGATCATGTTCTGCCACCAACAACTTTTATACAAATGGTTTTAAACAGTTAAAATAGAGATACTGTCCATAGAATCTGACAACCTAAGAAACCAAAGGTGGCAGAAAAGCTAATTTCATTTTCGAAAGAAAAGAATGTCATAATACCTGTGCCCGTGCAGCTGCTGCTGCAGCATTTGCTGCCTCTTCTACTTGTTGCTGATTCTTGGTAGCAGTAATTTTCCCACCGAGTTTATAAAGGTACTCTTCAGTCTGGGATAAGAACGAAGATAGAACATTGTATCTTTGAGCTGCATCACCAGGAACACTGGTTTGTTGTTCCAACAGTATTTGACGATATCGTTCCACATCATTGTTTTTTAGTGCCTCCATTCTTTTGCTTCGATCATCATCCTTTTTCTTTGAGAATTCCCTCAACATCCTTTCATGGTACTTGGCCACCCCTCTGTTACGAGTTATTCGTGCATCACGAATAGCCCAATGTGCTTCCAAAAGCTTCTTGCGCCATTGGAAAATGGATTTCAGCTGCTTCTCTCTCGATGCCTTTTGCATCTGCTGAACTTGCCTTATAAGCTCGACGCGTTGGCGCTCGCATTGCTTGACAAACTTCCTGTATATCCTATCAGGCATCGCCATTATTTCTTGTTGCACCTCTTCAACTTCATCCCTCATGCGAGCCTGGCGCTCTAGGAGTCTCAGCTTTTTTTCTTCAATCTGTAGCCTCAAAACAAGATCTGGCCGGATCCTTTTCCTCTCTAAATTAATTGAAAGCAAGCCGCTAATCTTTTTCAAGTTATCCTCTCGTTTCTTGCCAAGAACCATCATGCCTTCCTGAGCCAACAAATCTTTCATGTCATAACCAAGTGCCAGACTACCGTTGTAATTTGCAGGGGGCATGGAATCATGTTTCCTAGTAAAGGACGGGAAATCAAATAATGGACCATGATATTTTCTGGGAACATCCCTTGGAGATGGTGCGCTACTTGTAGAGGCAGCTCTTTTTGCTTGCTCAGCATCTGCCGAACCACTATCGGTCGGTACAGATTTTCCCTTTTCACCACTGTAATCACTTCTCCCAGGTGTTCTCTGGATACCCCTTTCTGGTTCCTGCTCAGATTTAATGGGAGCAGTGTTACTTTGTTCAGGTGCAGAAACTGGTAAAATTCTAAGAGGCTCCTTGGGTGGAACTTCCGTCACTTGCATGGGGCCACTTGCAGAACCAGTTTTCTCTTCCGAAGCAGAAACCTCCGCCTTTGGTAAAGAGGGTCCCTTCAACAATAGAGGTTTTTCAGGAGCTTTATCACCACTCTCCATGGGCCTTCCTTGTTCATCAGCATTGACTGAAGCAGCCCTTTCACGATTGGGTATTACTGGAGGTCCAGAGATCAGCTGCGTCTGTGGGTCCGGCAGTGGCGGAGGAGACATGATTAATTCAAGAACTTCCGGTGGGAGTGTACGGTCACCACGCTGAGATGCAACAAAAGAGAAATAAGAATTGCAGCAGTATGAGATTGATCAGCTTAAACCAGAGTAAAATTGTGCTATACTGGAACTCATGAGAAAAAAAATGCATGAACACAGGACACATCCAAATTTAGCTTTCTTGTACCTTCAGACGCCGAAAAGCTAATATTTGAGCTTTAAGTGCATGAAGTTGATGTTTTGTGAAATTCGAATTCGGCCGACCACCTTGAGTTGGGGCCTGTGATCCTCCTGTTTCACCAGGAGTTGCTGTAGGGGCAGTAGCTCGATTAGCCTGCTGCAACTGTCTTGCATACTGCAGCTGCATCGCTTCTGAACTCGCAAGGGTATTCTTTGGATTGGACTGCTCAGAAATCTTATTCCCGTGTCCAGAACTTTGGGTCATATGCATCATTTGCCCGGCGTTGCCCATTGTCATGGGCGGCCTCAGAGCCCTCTCATTTGAACTTTGGGCAGAAAACTGCTGCTGCATCTGCAAGTTGCTCGGATTCGCCATCTTTGTCTCTGCTCCAGCAGAAACAGAAGAACTAGGCAGGGGAGGCTGCCGGGGCTTCAATGGAGCCTGACCAGGATTATTCCCATTTACTGGGGCATCACTGTTCACCTGCCTAGGAAGCATTTGCTGATTCTGCTGCTGTTGTTGCTGCTGCTGTTGCTGCTGTTGTTGTTGCTGCTGCTGCTGCTGCTGCTGTGCAGCCATGTTTGTCGTGTTCTGCTTCTGCATGGCGGCCATCCTGGACTGCCAGATAGGTATGATTTGAGAAATGAGACTTGCATTTGCAGGATCAGACAGATCGATTTTCTGCTCCTTAGCCCAGGCATGGATAGCTTGCAACGGGATACCACCCATGCTGGCCATGCCCACTTGACCTTGCATTGGCTGCATCGGCCTCACCATACCAGCTGATGACATCTGCTGCCCAGGGATTCCTTGTGGTGGCATAGGAGGCCTCATGTCACCGCTCCTTTGCTCGCTGCTACCGGCGCGCTGCCCCTGCTCTGGCTGCTTCTCCGCCTGCTGAAGATGCTCGGACTGTCTCTTAAGCATCTGCGCCTGCGCCTGTGCCTGGGCCTGGGCCTGAGCCTGAGCCTGGGCCTGGGCCTGGGCCTGAAGGGACATGAGCTCCTGCATCTTCGCGGGGTTGGCAGCCGCATCCTGGTCCCCCCTTGTGGACGGTCCTGCCATATTCATTTTGGCCTGCTGCTGCTGCTGCTGCTGCTGGAGTTGCATCCCATGGGACTTCTGCTGCTGCATCAGAAACTGCATGTATGCCTGCTGCTGCATTGTGCTCTGGTTGTACTGCTGGCCCGCAACCAGGCCCTGCGGTCCACCGGGCTGGGGCAGGCCCCTCTGACCCTGGAACGGCCCGATGGGGCCCGAGGACTGGGGGAAGCCGCCCCCTCCGCCCATCATACCATGCGGCATACCGGGCTGGTAGGATTGCTGCTGCTGCTGCTGCTGCTGCATCATCGCCTGCAATAACAGAAGACAACCCGTTCAGAAATCACAACCTAGCAGAAATTAAGTAGTGGCCGAAGAGAGAACTCAAAACCCCAGCCGGAGAATCGCATCGCCGACGTAACAGAGCCAAGAATTCTTCAGAAACAAACACACATGCAATTCGATCACAGAGAGGAACAGGGCCGGTCCAAATCGGCCAGAGAACAATCCAAGATTGAGCCGCACAACAATCCCAAACCCAGCAAGAAACAAGAAGCGCGAATTCGAGACGCACGGGACCCCGTCGCCGGAGAAACCTGGACCGGAGACGCAAGAAACATGGAACTGCAAACCGCAGCCGCGCTGAACCCCACAAATGGAGGAGCTCGGGCGGATGGGGACAGGACACGCACCCACGGCACGCGCTCGCACTCCACTGGCAGTGGCTACCGTTGCGGCCAGGCAGGAGAAGCCGGCCCCAATAAAGGCGCCGCTTTTTTTTCTCCCAGATCCCAACGACCGCACGCGCGGGCGCGCGCGCAGAGGGCACGTTTCCCCGCCAATGGCGTCTGCTACCCGCGGAGATAAACCCACCACCAGAAAAATAAATTCCAACCCCCTGCCCTGCCGCCGCGGCGGGGCAGGAGGCAGAGAGAGAGCACCAAGGCCGGCTCACCTGATTCCTGGCGAACCCTAGGTGCTGCGCCTGCTGCTGCTGCGACGCCGTGGCCGGCTGCTCCGGCCGCGGCGACGAGGCCGGCGAGCTGCCGGAGGGCGCCCCACCGGGCTGCATGACGGGACCGGCCCGAAACCTCCTAGATCTGGCCGATTCGCTGCTCCTTCATGCGTCCCCGGCAAGATCTGGGTCGAGGGAGGCCGCGCGGGGAGGCGCGGGGTCGGATCGCCGCCGTGGA